ACCGGACTTGTCATGATCCACCTGTGTTCAACCTCCCAAGAGCTGGGACAACACTACCACGCCCAGTCTCAATCGCTGTCTCAGCGCTGCCCCGGGGGCTGGGCCAGCATGCCACACCAGGGATTGAACCCCAGCCGCATCTGCCTAAGCAGGCGCTTTAATCTGCTGAACTATCTGGCTGGTCCCCCACATTCTTTTTTAGCCTATGAAGTTTGAAGAATTCCAAATGGCAGAGGTCTGTTCCATGGACTTCATAAATTTCTGGACTTGGTTTCTCTGTTATATGTAATATTTACAAAAAAATAATATGCAACGTATGTCACATCTATAAAAGAAGAATACACACACACACACACACACACACACACACACACATATTTCTATGTTGGTACATTTTAGTATCTAATAATGGACCTAATTCAATTTTTGATAAAGACAAACTCTCAAACCCCAGATAATCCTGCGAAAGTTAACTTGTTACCTCCCAGAATTCTTTCCCTATTCTGTTCATTTAAACAGATCAGGTTAGGCTGGGGACATAGCTCCATGGTCTAAGCACCTGCCTGGCAAGTGAACCCAGGTTCGATCCCCACTACTGCATGCTGTGCCAGCCTTGGAACTGGGCATGGTGGCACATGCCTGTAATTCCCGTGCTGGGGAGACAGACAGGAGGATCACAATAAGTCTGAAATGCAGAGCGAAACCCTGTACCAAACAGATAAATAAATAAGTTCAGAAAAAAACAAAACAAAACAAAAAAAAATCAGGTTTAAAGTCTGGCACTTGACAATTTCACTTGAACTTAGGAGGAAATTGTATGTGTTTAATTTTTTAAAATCTTTTATTTATTTGTTTGGTACAGGGTCTCACTACGCAGCTTGGACTCATAGTGATCCTCCTATCTCAGCCTTCCCAGGACTGGGATAACAGGTGTGCACCAGCACATGCGGTTTCGGGGCCAGCATACTGCGCCCAGGGTTCCAGGGCTGGCACAGCATTTGGTAAGTACCAGGGATCAAACCCAGGTCCTTGCGCTTAGACTGCCAAGCTATCTCCCTGGCCCCGGTATGTATTTAATTTTTAAAGGGAAGTATAAGTTGGGCGTACAGCATGCTGAAAAGAAATGTCATTTTCTGACAGTTATAAATGGTTTCATGAATCAAAAATGAACCCAAAGTAGTAAAAATGTGAGATGTGAGGATAGGAAAACAACTGAAAACAGAGTAGAGGGTGAAGGATGGAGAAAAACAGGGATGCCCTGAAGTCAAACCGTCTCCACAACTCATGCGCCACTTGGCCGTGTGAGGTCCGGGTGCCCTGGGCTCCCGCAGCACAGGTGCCAGGTGGAAGGGGTGGGCGGCGAGCTGCGCAGTGAGGGAAGGAAGTCCCAGCAGGCAGAGTATGTGTAAGAGGCAGTATATATCATACATCCATATATATTTAGTACAGGGTCTCACTACACAGATCGGACTCAGTGATCCTCCTGTTTACAGCCTCCCAAGCACTGGGACTAGAGGGTGCGTGCCACCACGCCAGTCTCAATCACCGTCTCAGCGTTGCCCGGAGTTGGGGGGCGGCACAGCACACCGGGGATCGAACCTGGTCCCTGCACCTGCCTAAGCAGGTGCTTTAGTCCACTAAGCTATCTGGCGGGCCCTCAACCTCTTTTAAAAATAACTTTCTAATTGTTTTTGTTTATAGCTACACCCATGCAGGAAGAACAAGAATGTTTAAAGAAGAAATGCTAGAAGGGCTGGAAGACTGAGTGCCTGCTTTGGCAAGCGCAGGGATCAGGGCTCCATCTCCAGTCCTGCATGCCGCGCCTCCGCCCCGGCCCCGGCTCCGGCCCCCAGGAGCACTGAGCCAGCCACCCAGTCCAGGGATGGTGGCACAAGCCTGTAATCCCAGCACTGGGGAGGCTGAAAACAGGAAGATCACTACGAGTCTGAGCTGCATAAAGAGACCCTGCACCAAATAAATAAAATGGAAAAAAAGAATTTTTAAATAAAGAAAGAAGAAATGTTAGAAAGCTTAAAGATGACCACTGAAAGAAATGAAAAACAGTTCAAGAAAGCACTCTGATTCCACCACCACCGTGGACAAGGCCGGGCCTGGGGCTGTTTCGTTATTACCCAAAGAAACCAGCGCTGCCTGCTAGCGAATGGTTAGCCATACCTTCTCCTCCGCCTCAGAGACTGCCAAGCCAGTCAGCTCGCCCTGGATCCCAGGTTCCACGTCCCAGCAGCCTCTTCCTCCCGGCTCCTCTGTGACTGGTGCTGCAGGCATACCATGAGACAGAGACAAAGAGAAGGGGATGAACCACCAGCTGGCTGTTGCGTGCCCCTGCACAGCCGACAAGTACCACACAGTGAGACGCATCCCCAGGAGAACAGGCTGAACCCTCGTGCAGAGAGCCCCAGGTCCACCAGCCCTGCCCACATGGAGCTGGCATGCTAACGGGCACCTCACCAAGGAGAGGCGGCATCAATGAACCTCCATGCATTGTTGGTGGGGTGCAGGGCTAGAGTCTATATCTCACTCCTACTTCATAGCAAAGAGCCCCCAAAGCAGGCACTGCTGAGCAAAAGCAGGGCCTGTTGGCAGAGTGAGAGAAGCAGCCGCCCAACAGGGCTAGGAGCGCGGCAGGGGACACAGCGCTCTACAGAGGCTGCAAGTGGCCCATGCTTTCGGCTTCCGTCACGCAGTTGGGCATCCCACGCCCTGCCTCATGGCTTCCAGCTGTGTTTTTGTCTCACCTTTCTGACATGTGCTGCACATCCATGAATTCTGTAAGTGTTGCATGTTTAAGCTATAAAAGCGGGAAAATGAGCCCAGAAATATCCTTAAGTATCAATACCAACGTCACCTCATCCGTGAACTCTCTGATGGCTGAACTGACGGACTCACTCGCCGCGTGTACTCAGAACGCTCACAGCGCTCCACCCTGCACTGAGGGAAACTAGGCTTCTCACAGCCCTTGCACACGTTCTAACCAGGACCCTGAGGACAAGGATAGTCACTTTATAAATTTATAAAAAATTTTATTTGCTATCATCTTGAAACTTCTGTCCCCTTTGTTTCAGCGAACAGAAATACTTCTGTCTTTGGAGAATGGGAGCCATCTGGGACTCGGAAGGCCTCTCCTCAGACCAAGAAGTGTCGTGTTGAAGCAAAGACTGTGTCAAGTGGTAGTTGCTGACAATCAAGTTCACTGTGTCCATGGCGCCCACTGATAACGGAGGCACATTTTATACAGATTTTTCTGTCACTTAAAAAGTGATTTCACTTTGGGCTACCATTCCAAACTCTTAAAAGAGATGCCCAAAGCACTGCCCCCAAATCAGCCCTTTCTTCCTCTGCCATGCCTCGCAGGAGTCCTTGAAGATCCAGGTGAAGGCAGAAGAACCTGATGCAAGCTGCCTCCCCAGGGCCATGCCAGAGCAGGTGACGGGGTGTCCGGCTCACAGAGCCCCAGCAAGCTAGACTGCTCCCAGCCACACGGTTAGAAGCACAAGGACTGAGAACAGGGCTCTGCTTGACTCCGCGCTCAGCCTACTGGGGTCTCACAGGGAAGGGCCTGGTCCTTCAAGCACAAGAGACCTATCAGTTACAAGTCGTCATTTAGGACAATCTTGTGCCCTTAGCGACTTTCTAAAGAGAATCAGCCCCTTCTCCCCTCCAGCCTGGGACAGAGAGTCCTTGGGGAACTGACCCCACCACCTGCCACGGCAGTGCCTCTATAGAACTGCTCTGAGTCCAGCAGATCCATGGCTGGCCCTTGACAGCTGTCCCAAAGGACAGGAGAACAGATGCGGACAGGAGAGTCCTCCAGCCTGGCCTGGGAGATGGAGGAGGAACGGAGGGGAGGAGCCCCGCCCCAAGCAGCTGGGGTGAGCCAGGCCTGTCCAGCTGTCCCTGGGGCGAGGCAGCACCCACCAAGGCCTATGTGTATTTTTAGACAAAACTTCCTCAATGGCATAATGAGGTCCTTCTTGTGAAGGGAAATCACCCGGGGCATGATTCCCCTGATGAATCCGGCCTGTGCCGAAATGGAAAGCATATGTGCGCGTTCCGAAAATAGAAAGCTGGCTTAGATAAAGCAGAACTTGAGAGAGGGGAATAATTATTGCTGCTTATAAGAAACGTATAGATTTAAAGCACTATTCCATATATAGACCAAAGAAACATGAAAACCCTACAATCCTCCAGTCCCTAGCTTCTGAAGATGCTGTAGTACAGACAGATAGGGCCTTCTGGAAGGAAGGCTTTTATCACCATTCCATGAAAAAGATACCCTCATTATTATCTTAGAACCTTTTCTGGTCTAACGCTGTACATACAACAGCACCATTGTGTTCCAAGAAATTATCTGAGCCAATTCTCTAGTCTTTCTGTATTTAAAATGCATTGAAATGGCATTTCGATGTAAGATTTGATGTGCATTAAAGTACAGGGCAACACAGATCAAAACCGTGGTCATTCTGCTTTGGCCTATCCACCACACTTTGTGGGGCAAGGGGAAGGGGGAGGGAGGCTGACTGTAGTTTTCTGAGCTGTATTATCCTCAGCTCATGGGGTTACGTTCAAGTGTTTGTTCTCTAATGGACTACAGAGACCCTCCTTTAAAAAAAAAAGATTTTTAAAAATAATGTTTAGGGGGCCGGGGAGATGGCTCAGTGGAATAAGCACTTCCTTGGCAAGTGCAAGGGCTGGAGTTCAATCCCCAGTTCCGCCAAAAAA